CAGCCAAGCGCGTCAAGGACAAAGCCAAGGAAGACACAGGGAACGGCACGGGAGGAGAGCTTGTCCGCGGACGTATCGCGGACAAAAGCTCGACATCCCCAGACTCGGAACACCGACGCATCGCCAACCTCCCCCGTCCAACGCAATGTGGGCGAGGTCTCCGGAGCAGAGACACGGGGCCAGAGGTTGAGCTGATGCGCAGCGTACTGCACTGCAAACGGCCACAAGAAATGGGGGGCAGCCGCATGGATCATGGAGGTACGAGCGACCTCCATGACTAAGCCAATGCGGCGCTCAGCAACCCCATTCTGCTGAGGAGAGGCTGGAAGAGTGAACGTCTGGCGGATGCCGTGCTCCGCATAGTAGGCTGCCAAGAGGTCGGAGGAAAACTCACCACCCGTGTTAGAGTGCAGACGCAGGACGGGAAAGTCCGTATGGAACCGCTTGCGGAGCTGGAGACGAGCAGCGCGGATCCAAGGGATCAAGACATCAGGGACCTCACCCTTGGTACGCAAGGGGAAGACCGTGGTGTAGCGCGTGTAGTCGTCAACGACCAGCAGGAAGTACCGCTCGTGGCCCTGTCCCCGGACGCGGGCTGGGCCCCACACGTCCGGGTGGAGAGTCTATAAGGGAGCCTCTATGGGAGGGAACGAGGAGTGAGGAGCGGCGCGCTGCCGCCCCTCGACACAGGGAAGACAGGGAGGAGCAGGCGAGGGTGGGAGGGGTGGGAGAACCCTGGGAAGACCAGAGACAAGGTACCGGGAGTGCATGCCGCGAAGGCGCTGCACTAACGGGTGACCAAGGCGGTGGTGCCAGAGGACAGTCCGGTGTGACAGGGAGCGACACGAGCAGGGGGCCGACAGCTGACCTGACGCAAACGCAGACGCAGCTACCTAAGGGGACTCAGTGGTCAGTGTGTACAAGTCCGACCCCGACTGCCGAGTGAAGGTAGCCAGGTGACGACCCGTCTGGGCACACGTGCAGTGCGTCACACGCTCGTAGGCAGGGGTGAACTGGTGAACACTCCCGTCCTGGAGCGCGGAGCCCGCCACCAAATTCGTAGAGAACGAGGGGAGGTAAAGGCCTGACAGTGTGCCAGACGGGACAGCAGGACAAGGGAGGGCAGTGGTTGAGGTCGCAAGGACCGGACCCCCGGAGGGGTCAGCCAGGGAGACAGCAACCAACCTAGGGAGCTGCTCGAGGGCAGTGCGGTCGCGAAAGAAACAGCGGGAAGCACCTGAGTCCAGTGTGAAGGTGTGCAGTGCCTCAGTAGACGTAGTACCTGAAAGCGCAGACTCACAAGCACCTGAAGCAGTAGACTCACGAGCGCCTAGAGCAGCAGCCTCACCAGCACCTGGAGCAGCAGACTGGATACCGGGGTCAGGCGGCACAAACAGGTGACAGGCTCCCTCGGCACTAGAAGACAATGCATACATTGCAGTGAGAATAGCATCATAGTCAAGAGCAAAGCTATCTACCCTCTGCCTAAGCAGCTCCACCCAATCGGGGAGCTCAGCGTCGTCGCCAAACTCTGTACGCAAAGCGTCGCTCAGACGGGCAAAGCAGTGAGACTCTATGTGACCAGGCGTCCCGCAAGGCTGATCGGTCCGGACACCCGTGCGAATAACGTACAGGCAGCGAGCAGTACGCAGCGACCCTCTACTCTGAGTGTACCACTCACGAAGCTGCTGGGGCGAAAGAGTCTCGCTCAGACTACGCTTTTGCGGCACCGAGCCACTACAACAAACTCCCGAACTACGCACTCCAGGGCGACTCCCACTACTGCCACCCCGACAACCCCAACGGGCGTACCACTCACGAAATTGCTGGGGCGTGAGGGACACACGCGGACGGCCCTGGAGCTGCATCTGGCCACGCCACGAGTAGCAATAGAAGCAGTAGCAGCATGAGCAGCACTAGTAGTAGCAGCAGCAGTAACAGTAGTAGCAGTACGGGTAGGGACGTGCTCACCTGTGGTGGGAAGGGCAGGCGCACGACGGAGGCGACTGCGGGGCCGCTACAGCGGCAGGGCGGGGCCACGGGCGGCTGTTGCAGTGGCGGCTGCTCCAGGGGCGGCTGCTCCAGGGGCGACTACTCTAGGGGCCAGGGGCAGCTGCTGCAGTGGCGGCTGCTCCAGGTGCCACGGGCGGCTGCTGCAGTGGCAGTTGCTCCAGGGGCCAGGGGCGGCTGCTGCAGTGGCGGCTGCTCCAGGGGCCACGGGCGGCTGCTGCGGTGGCAGTTGCTCCAGGGGCCAGGGGCAGCTGCTGCAGTGGCGGTTGCTCCAGGGGCCAGGGGCGGCCGCTGCAGGGACGGCTGCTCGAGGGACCAGGCGCGGGGTAGGGGCGACACGGCGGGCAAGGCGGGCAAGGCGGGCGCGGGGTACTGCAGGGCGACGCGGCGAGCAGGGGCGACGCCGCGCGGGCCCCGCAGGGGCGTCACGACGAGCGGGGGCGACGCCCAGGTCCCGCTGGGGCGGCGCGACGCGCAGGAGCCGCGCCTCGCGGGTCCCGCAGGGCGTCGCGAAGAGGCAGGGGCGACGCGCGGGTCCCGCAGAGGCATCGCGACGAGGCGGGGAGGGACGTGCGGGTCCCGCAAGGGCGTCGCGAAGAGGCAAGGGGCAACGCGCGGGGCCCGCAATGGCGTCGCGAAGAGGCAGGGGGCGACGCGCGGGGCCCGCAAGGGCGTCGCGAAGAGGTAGGGGCGACGCGCGGGTCCCAGCGAGCTGCAGCCGCCGAAGTGCAGCAGCCGTGGCGCGCGGGGTACAGCCTGCGCGCGAGCGTCGGCCTACGGGCGGCGGCGGCCTACGGGCGACGTACGAGCGCCCTACAAGCTGTGTAAGGGCAGCCTACGGGCAGCGTATGGGCGGCAAGCAGCCTACGGGTGGCGGCCTACGGGCAGGCAGGTCGCGGGCGGCTCAAGGGGCCGCGAGAGGCCGGTACGAACTGCGTGGGCGGCTAGCAAACTGCGCGCGGGCGTCGATCAGGCGGCGCGCTGGTGGCTAGCGAGCCACGCGCGCACGGGCAAAGGACGGCGCGCGGGCAGAACGAAGGGAGGGGCGTGCGAGGGCGCACTAGCAGAAAGAAGGCGCACGAGGGCGCACGAGCAGAGTAGGGCGCACGAGGGTGCACGTAAGTTAGGGCGCACGAGGGCGCTTCTAGCGGAATGGTGGGCCCGTAGTAGTAAGCGGTCCTAGGTGGCTAACCTAGGCTCGTGATACCATGTCAGAATGAACAAGAAAGTTTGAACCAAGAAAAAGTTGGGTACAAGTAGGAAATCCTAGACTTAGTGTACCCCATAGTAACTACCCCACTACAGCCTAAACAAACTGTAGCAGATATAACATTTGACAGGGTCTGGTGATCATCACCGTTTCTGCACTGCTCTTGGGCTTGTGCCCACTCTGCCTCATCTGTTAGGTGCTTGAATTGCTCGTTGTACACTGCTATACATCTTTATACCTGCGTGTTTTCTCTTGCTAGGTTGTGATCAGTGTACTGCCTTGCAATTACATACCTCTGCATGTGAACTGGCCTTGTGGCCAGTTGCTTGTGCTTAGAATGCGTGGTGATTTTGTGATCCGCCCTGAGCTGTGTTCTCTTCTGCTGTCCCCTACTTTGCCTATGGGGGTGTGTCACATTACAATTGTATCTCTAGGCTACAGTAGGGTCAATCCTTAGTGAGTACAACACTTTAGGGTTAGGTTTCCCCTACTTGTACTCACCTCTTGCCTAGTTCAATCATTCATTCATAGTTCTATTCTTGACAAGTGGCTGCGAGGAAACGCGGTACAGTGGATGGCAGAAACGAGTGGTCATTTCTGGAAACTGACGATGTGAAGAAATGAGGAATGGAAGGAAGTGAGGGGTTTCACTAGCAAGCAGTTGAGTACATATAGCAAACCCTAAATTGGGCTGTACTCACTATTGAGTACCCCACTGCAGGCTAGACAAACATAACATTCTGACAGACGAGGGGGTGGTGATGAGGCGAATCTGCAGCAAAGCGGCGCCGCTGACGTGGAAGAGTAGTTTCATCTCTATCTTGGATAACCCGAAGCTGACACATTAACCACCGTTGGCTCGTTTGGAGGGAACCTGCAGTACTCGATATCGTAGCGCCTCCCTCTGAATACAGTTACGACTGCCAATGCTCTGTACATTTTGATAGTGTATCATTGCATACAAAAAATGACTACATTAGTTTATAATGATAAAAAATTATCTCTATAGATATTTTAACAATACATATAACCTGAGACGATAAATTACGTGACAATACAAGAGGAGGACATGTTAAAACGACGTATGTATTCTCCGTACTAATTAGCTGATTAGTGAAATCTAACATGATTTGGACATTTAGTAATAACTTTGATGAGACTCTCTGTATGTGAAGTCAAGTTAACTGAACAGATAGCCCATGATGTCAACTTTTGTTCCTGACAATCACCGCCAGAGCCTCGAGATTCGCGCCTGAAATTTTATGGTTTCCAGCGCAAGTTTTCGCAGAGTCTCGGAGAAGTGTTTCCGTAGGGTCCGTTCATCAGAGTCGCATCCTTGTCGTAGGTCCGTTCAGAGTCGCATCCTTGTCGTAGGTCCGTTCATCAGAGTCGCATCCTTGTCGTAGGTCCGTTCATCGGAGTCGCATCCTTGTCGTAGGTCCGTTCATCAGAGTCGCATCCGTTTTGAATACCAATGGACGGCCCGTAGGCCCTTTAGTTCTCGCTGGAACATATCGCAATGCCGGTGGTCATGGCGACTCGCTCGTGTCTACGTACCTACCTTCTTGCTTTCTGCTGCTTCGCGATCTTTCCTCACTTCCACGCTAGCAGCCCAGCAGGAGACCTTCCGTATTCGGAATTCCGCGAACGTGTACTTTCACCTGGCTACGGATCACGCACGGAGCCACATGGAAGTAGCGATCATGGAAGGGATCAATCAGGCAGCACGGAGCAAGCGAACGGGTGGTTGACGAAAGAATGGGACGACGAGGCGAAGCCGATGCAGCTGCTACGACCGTCGCCGAATCATGATCGGTTGGAAGTGGTTCAGTCCACTTTGGATGTGTTGGAGAGAATACAGCAGCCCGTGGCTTTCGTGGCTGTAGTCGGTCCTTACCACGGGTAAGAAATCATCAGTGCGTGGTCCACCATGTTTTCCCTCGCCCCTGGTTGACGTGTCCCTCAGCAAGAACGTTGCTCTACATTCCTCTCTCTTCACCCCTCTCCCCGGGTTTCGAGGACTTCCAGGCTCTATTTCTGAGACTTCCGAAAACGTTTTTTTTCCTCCATTTGGATAAGCATACACCAGCACGGGCAGTTTCTTTCCTAGAGCAACTCCCCTTGTCTCTCTTCATCAATCTTCTCCCGCCAGTGGCAAATCCTTTCCCTTCATCGATCTGCTTAACTCCACACACGACGTCCAAGCCAGTCCACACCATCTTTTGATTGCTTGAACGCCTCCGCCCAATCACTCCCCCTTCCTCTCCGCCCTCCTCCCCCGTTTTTCCCCTTTCCCTTACCTCTCTTTGTCGCAGATGCAGGTCTGTCATCCTCAACTTCAACGTACATGCCCACCTCCTCTCCCCATGTCTCCCCACCCCCCCCTTCTCACCCTACATTCTCCCGGCCCGTCGGTTCACATCCTCCCCCACCACGGGAGGGGCAAGTCCTTCTGCTCAACGTGCTGCTCAACTCCACACGCGGATTCCCAATGGGCACGCGCCTAGCTGCATTCTTCCCCACCTTCTTGCTGACTCCATGACTGATTAACTTCCCGTCTGACCGTTTCCCCTCCCTCCTACCCTTCCCCTCCCCACGGCAGGGGCAAGTCCTTCCTGCTGAACGTGCTGCTCAACTCCACGCGCGGCTTCCCAGTTGGCACGCGTCCAGACCCCGAGACCCTGGGGCTGTGGGTGCGCATAGTACCCCCTCACCGCCTGCAGGCGCGGGACGGAGCGGTGGTGGTGCTGGTGGACTCGGAGGGGCTGTATGGGGACGGCGCTTCACGGGCGTATGACGCCAAGCTGTTTGCTGTTGCCACGCTGCTGTCGTCCCATCTCATCTACAACACCCTGCGCACACTCGGTGCGTGGGGAATGGGAATATGACTGATGGACTCGGAGGGGCTGTACGTGGATGGCACTCTGAGGGCATATGACACAAAGCTGTTCGATGTTGTCATATGTACGCTGCTGACACGCTGCTGTTCTCCCTCTTTATCTACAACACCCTGCGTACACTTGCTGAGGTGGGAGGGGGGATAGGGCAAACCAACCAGCACCTGAGGGGGAGGAGCTGGATGGTATGGAGGGTCCACGTTGACCATGGTGGCGCGGCTCTGGCTGCAAGCATGCGACAGTCTGATGGTAGTACACCTCTGTTCACCTCTCTGCACCTCTGTACCTCCCTGTACCTCTCTCCACCTTTCTCTACCTCTCTGTGCCTCTCTCCAGGTGACGCGCAGTCAGTGGCAGCATTGGCGGACCTAGCGAAGCAGGCACATGTGTTCAACCTGCAGAACTGGCTGCACTCAGGAGGGTGGGGTCCCGCGCACGCCAATTCTGCTGCTGCTGCTGTTGCTGCTCATGGAGCTGCCGCTGCTTCTGCTACTGCTGCGGCTGCTGCTGGTGCTGATCCTGCTTCTCCTGCTGCTGTTTCTCCTGCAGCAGCATCATCCCATCTGCCTGACCCACGGCTTCTGCTGCAGACTCTCACCTTCCCTCCCCTCACCTGGGTGGTGCAAGGCTTCGACCTCGACCTGCAGCAGCAGGAAGACTCCCCTTCACCCCACTCCACCACACCCCACTCCGCCTCCTCCCACTCCACCTCCTCCCACGCCTCCTCCTCCGTCTCCCCCATGGTGTACCTGCAGCGCTACCTAGCAGCGCACGCGCGCACAGGAGACCAATCTCTAGAAACCCTCTTCACACAGGGTATAGCGTGCCTCACTGTGCGCACGCCCACGGATATCAACAGGCTCCGGGAGGAGGTGGGCGGGGCGGGGCTGGGCGCTGCTGATGTGGAGCTGATGTCAGCGCTGCATCCAGGGTACCTTGCTGACGTGGCAGCCGTGCGAGAGCGCGTAATTGGGTCGCTGGAGGCGAAGGGGGGTGCTGGGCAGAAGTTCACAGGGGAGACTGTGGGTGAGTGAGTTTTTAGGGGGATCATTTCAACCATTTCGCATCGTTTTCCCCGTCCCCTTTCCGTTCCGCTTTCCATTTCCCTCACAGTGTGCTTACTGCCTCTTGCATTGCGTGCCTTTCCATGAAACCCCTACTTTCCTTTTCCTCTTACATCCTCCACCCACCCAACTTCCCTCCTCACCAGCGCGCCTGCTCCCACTGCTTGTTCGCTTTTTAAAAGGGATTTCCCACTAACCGCCTTCCTTACTTCTCTTCTTCCCTGCATGTCCCCCCTTCCTCGCTTCACTCTCCCACTCATCTTCCCACCAGCATGCCTGCTCCCCCTGCTCCTCCACATAGTGAACAGTGACTTTCCACTAAACTCCTTCCTTTTCACCTCTCCTGCCCATCTTCCCTTCAACGCTTCACCCGCCCACTCCCTTCCTTTCCAGCGCGCCTGCTCCCTCTTCTCGTTCACTTTGTGAACAGTGACTTCCCACTAAACGCCGAGCGCCACATACAACAAGTCATGCTGGACCTTCTGCTGGACGGCGCGTTCGCCTCCGCCGTCCACTTCTTTCGTCTGCATGCCGATGCTGCCCTCGACCGATTCACTCAAGCCACCCGCGCTGCTGCTGCCAGCGCTGCTGCCGGTGCTAGTGATAGGAGTGGGTTTCCTGCAGCTGCTGCTGCTTCTGCTGCAGACATGGGTGGGACAGTTGAAGAGAGAGAAAATTTTGCTGCTCCAAGCACTGCCATTGAATGGGACACGAGCGACCGTGCATGGGACCTGAGCAGTGCTGCAGAGCCTGCTGCAGCTGTGGCAGAGGAAGCAGCTCGCACACCCGCCGCTGCTGCAGCACTGGCATCCCCCACTCCAGCGTCTCGGCTGCTGTCAGCCACATTCACAGCGGAGCGCATGGAGCAAGTCCTTTCCAAGGCAGGTCCGCTCTCTCACTCTCTTTCTCTCGTCCTTACACTCCCTCGCTCTGTCGTCTGCTGCTGTAGCCTTGCCTCTCATCCTCCTGTGCTCTCTTCTCTTCCTCTGTAGCCTTGCATCCCTGAATTGTCTCCTGCGTTTCTCCCTTGGCACCCGGCTTCCTTTCCTGCACACCCCGTCCCCTCCCTTCCCTTCAGAGCAAGATGCGCAGCACTACTGCATGGCGCGCAGTGTGGGCGTGCCAGCAGACCGCTCCACCATGACGTGTGGAGTGAGGCTCTTTGCAAAGCTCGACCACATCAAGCCGCACTACAGGTGGGTCATGTCCTGCTTAGGCTCCTCGTGTTACATGCATGTAGCCTGTGAAGTAAGCCTTTACCCGGCTCGACCACATCAAGCCAGGTCAGGTTAGGAGCTTAGGTACGGCTAGAAGACCCACGTACATTTTTTTTGGTCGACTCAAAAACAGGTTCAGCTGGACCCACGCACCTGTAGGTGTTCCGAAGGCTCCTCTTGTGAGGCGCCGCAAGAGTTTCCTGCTGAGTAGTCCCCCGCGATATGTGGAGTCAGGCTCGTTGCCAAGATGGGCCACAGCAAGCCACGCACGCACGCACGCACACACTGGCAGTGGGTGTCTTCCATAGCCTCCTCTTTTGAGGCGGCTCAAAAACTGCCTCTGAGAATTCTCAAAAGTGGCTCTAGAATCGGCTGTTCATTGTTCCACCATACCATGGGCATTCTCATGTCAACGCACGTCTAGCAACGAGCACAATGTGCACGTGGCACTGGCAGCGTTGTGCTGGTTGGCTGACAAGCCCTCGCTTTCTTTTCTCTCTGTCTGTACCTTCTGCATGCCCGGCCTGGCCCACGTATACCCCTGATAAGAGTGAAGGTTTGAGACGTCTCAAAACTTCACTCTTATCATGTGGCTTTTTCTTTTCTCTCTGTCTGTATCCTTATGCATGCCCAGCCTACGTCTCCCCCTCCTGCTCTTCTGGTCTGGTCCCTTTCAGGTCCACCAACGTGGCGCTGGCTGGCAGCGCTGGCAGATGAGACTCCTGACCTCTTTCTGACCTTTCCTCCCGCCTTTGTACCCCCTCCCCCCCCCCCGGCTTATCCCCCCTCTCCCCCCCTTCCGTTCTTGTCTCAGGTCCAGCAACGAGCACAATGCGCATATGGTGCTGGTAGCGGGTAGACGAATCTTTGTCCTGTATCCCCCACCCGACTTATTCCTGTTATCCGATCATCGCAGGTCTAGCAATGAGCACAACGTGCACGTGGCGCTGGCAGCACTGGCAGACGAGTTGCAGCAGGCAGCACACGCGGCTGTCGCTGCCATACCCCTCCCACAGAGGGAGCAGCTGCTGGAGCAGCAGTGCGAGGCCGTTCACATGGCAGCTGTTGACAGGTGATTCCGCTGTAAATAGAGGACCTGCCTCCACCTGTCTCCACCTGTCTCCACCTGCCTCCATCTCTCTCCACCTGTCGCGTTACAGCTAGCAGTTCACACGCCTCCGTCTGGCCCTCCCTTTTCCACAAATTGAGCAGCAGTAGCAGCCTGTTTGCATGAAAGCTTTATAGGCAAGTGATTTCTCCAGCTTCTCACAGAACTTGAGCGACCACATCTGCAGTGCATTGATTTCCATTCCATGCTGCCATCTTACCACTCCTCACCATAAAACTAATCCCCTCCCTGACCCCCCCCACCCCCCTCCTTTCCTTTCTTCCCTTTCCCCCAACTTCACCCCCGTTTCACCACGTGCTCTCTGGCTCACGGCAGTCTGGGCGACCACAGCAGCAGCCCTCTGGCTCCCATACTTCTACACTCTCCCCATCCTTGACCATCGAACAATACCCTTTCCCCTATACCCAACCCCCCTTTTCCCAGACCCAACCCCTTCCCCTTTCCTCCACACTGTTTCATGGGCAGCGTGGGCGACCACAGCAGCAGCCCCACTCTTCTCCATGGAGATCCCTTCCCGCACCCAACCCCTCCCCCCTTCCCGCCCCTCCCCATTCTTCACCCAACTTTCACCGAACGTTCTCAGGTTCACAGGCACTCTGGGCAATCACAGCAGCAGGTCTCCGTCTGGCTCTCGTGGTTCCACATTCTTCCCTTAATTCCCTCACTCCCGTCTTACCCCCCCGCTTTCACCACGTGCCTCCGCAGGTTCACGGGCACTCTGGGCGACCACAGCAGCAGCCCCACTTTTCTCCATGGTTCCCTTCTCGCACCCAACCCCTCTTCCCGCCCCCTCCCCTTTCGTCAACCCCTTTCACCGAACGTCCGCAGGTTCACGGGCACTCTGGGCGACCACAGCAGCAGCCCCTTGGCCCCCGTGGTTCGCTCCCGCCTCGATGCTGACGTCAGCAGCCACTGCTCCGCCGCCACGTCAGCAAACGACCGGCTGATCGCCGCCCTGCTGGGCAAGGGGAGGGTGGCGTACCACCGCACGTACCATGACACGTTCCGGGCGGCATTCTTGTCCTATGCTGCCGCCCATGCTCATGCTCACGCCAAAACTCCTGATGCCAACGCTGCTGATGCTTCCCTTTCTGCTGCTGGTGCTGGTGACGCTGCCACTGCAGCTGCCACTGGTGCCATCACCAGCAACAACAACCCAAGCACGTTCCCTTCCCCTACCGACGACCCGCACCTCTTCTCCCACGCCCTCTTCGCCCTCCTCCCCTCCTCCACGCCCCCTCCCCCCCCTCGATGGCTCCTCTCCCTCCACGCCAACGCCTCCCTCCTCGCTCAGGATGCCTTCTCTGCAGCCATCGCCCAGGGGGGGCTGGCGTGGGTGGTGCCCGGGCACGAGAAGTTTGATTTCTTTCTGTTCCAGGCAATGCAGTGGGGCAAGCAGCGCGAGAGGGGGTTGGGGGAGGAGAATGCGCGGAGAGTGCGGGGGTACTGTGGAGAGATGAAGGGGAGGCTGGTGGGGGAGTATCGGCGGAGCGTGGGTGAGATACACCCATTGCCAGATAACGAGGAGGTGGTGGTGGCCAAGGTGAGACTCACTATTTCAATGCCTGTCCAAGGACAGGTGTTTGTAAAGTGAGGGTGAAATGTGTGGGGAGTGCGGGGGTTCTGTGGGGAGATGAAGGGGAGGCTGGTGGGGGAGTATAGGAGGCGCATGGGGGAGATTCAACCGCAATGACCATGTGGTGGTGGCTGAGTTAAGACTCGCTTTTCTTGAAACATTTGTACGCCCAAGACGTCCGTGTTTTGTTCGAGGAGAACGGGAGGCGGTTTTCCAAGGCGTTGTTGCCTTACATCCGAGGTTGGGTCGGAGGGGCTAATGGCATTAGCCCCTCCGACCCAACCTCGGACATAAGGCAACAACGCCTCGGGAAGCAGCCTCACGTTCTCCTCGAACAAAATACGGACGTCTTGAGCGTGTAAATGGTTGTACAGACTGTCTTCCACCCTGTTTTACTGATCCCGTTCGCCACTCCTCTCCACCAAATCCTTACCACTCCATCCACCCACCCCTTCTACCTGCCCACCTGGCTTTCACCCCTTGTTGCCCTTTTGAGACGTCTCAAAAGTCGTCTACCTGCCCACCTGGCTTTCACCCCTTGTTGCCCTTCCAGGCTCGCCATCTAGCCGCACTGGTTCTCGCCAATTACAGCACGGCAGTGCAGCCTTACCTGCCATCAGCTTCAGTGGAGGAGGTTCGGGTGCAAATGCAGGCTCGAGTGGAGGAGGCTCGGCAGCGGCTGGTGGATCGGAACACGGAGCTCATGACAGCGCTGTGCTTCGAGCCTCTGAGGGACGCCCGGGACGAACTGAACATGCAGGTTCGGATGAGGGAGGGATTGCAGAGAAGTGGGGTTTATGTGAGGAAGAGGGGGGAGAGGAGGTAGGTGCTGAGAGGGTGGTTACAGGGGGCTGCTTCTGGCTTTTTTTAAGGCCAGGGGTTTTCTGGTTCTCCTCTTGGTGTATTTAAAGACCAGGGAGGTGTTTTAGGCAATGCTTCTGGGGTGTCTACGGATGATGGCGCTCATTTTTCCTCAGAGCTCAGTCGACTAAAGAATCTCCTCTTTTGGAGTCGACTTGAAAATCGGCCAAGAAGTCGACTAGAAAATCTCCTCTTTCCTATGCCTTGACTCCATCCCTTGCCCACCAGGAGTGTGACAAGACCTATCACAACATCTTCATCTCCAAGTCCTGGTGGTCCCTCAAGTGCCTCAGGCCCGGCCCGAGCCTCTACTTCGGCTTCCGAGCCTCCGCCTTTGCCGTGGCACTCAAGCACCTAGCCAAGGCCCAGCTTCGGTTCAAATCCGGAGCTGCCTCCACCACCCCCTCCACTTCCACCCCTCCTCCTTCTGCTGCTGCTGCTATGGGTAACACTGCAAGAGACTCCCCCTCCCAGGGGGAGGTAGGGAAGTTGGAGGAAGGGAAGGGGGAGGTAGAACTGGTGGAGGTGGAACTGAGCGAGGCAACGAAGCACAGGGTGATATCTGCGTGGCTGCAGAGGGACCTAGCCGTCCACGCCAACACCGTTCTCACCAACTGCTGCCTGCTGCTCGCCTTGCTCGCTGCCCTCCTGCTGCTGCTGCGCTCCCTGCTGCTGCGAGTGAAGCGGGTGCTAGGGAGGAAGGGGAGGAGTGGAGGACAGAAGAGGGAGGGAGGGAGTGGGGATAAAGGGGGGAGGCTGGGAGGAGGGGGGATTGGGAGGGTGAAGAGTGAGGGGGATGGGAGCGGGAGTGGGAGTGGGAGTGGTGGGGTGTGGGGGTTGGGGATGAGGTGGAGGGGGAGAGGGGGGAGTGAGGGGGATGGGAGGAGCGGAGAGGGGAGCAGCACGGCTGGGAGAGGGGGAGGAATCTGGGGGCGGAAACATGTGAACGGGGCATGTGAAGGGGCGTATGATGGAGCACCTGAGGAGGCGAGACATGGGACACGGTCGCATGGGAATGGGGCAACGGGGCGTGCAGGTGGGGCTGATGCAGCAGCAGGGGCAGCTGCAGCCAAGGCAGATTCAGCAGCGACAGTTGGTGGTGAGTCCGCAGGAGCAGTGGCAAGGTTGCTGGCATGGCTGGCATCTGGCAGGAGGGGGGCTGAGAGGCAGAGTGGTGGAGAGGGGCATGAGCATGGGGACATGGCGCATGGTGGATTACCCAGCAGGTTTGCAGGCTTAGGCTCGACGAGAAATGGCGGGATGGGGACTACTCGGGTGAGAGGAGGCGTGATGGGGAGTGAGATGGCAACCAATGACGGGGCGGCGAATGGCCTCGTGGCCAATGGTGTGATGAACAATGAGGCGATGGCGAATAGATGGCATGAAATGGAGGCGGCGCTTGGGCCTGGGCATGGTGTTTTGGCGGTGCATGGAAAGGGGGCGGCACAGCAAGGTGGTTGGGCGGCACAGGACGGCGCAGCTATCATTGCCAAGCGAAGGAGTAGCTCCAGCAGTGGTGGTACTGCTAGCGGCGCTGATGGGGATGGCGATACCGATGGTGGTGGTGGTGACAGAGACAGGATGGGGCAGGCAGCAAGAACGGTGCTGGCAGCGTTGTCAGCAAGAAGAGGAGGAGCAGGAGGAGGGTCAGCATCATCAGCTCTCAGAACCCTTCAAGACCGGATAAGCAGGCAACAAGAGGGGCTTGGTGTGGACCATTCAACCAATACAAGCACCAGAGGGAACAATGGTACCAGCGACGGCACACCTGCCCATCCAACAACTCCTACAGGCAAAGCGGTGCCTCCCCCTGCTGCTGCCAGCTTCCCCAACAGTGCTACCAGCAGTCCAGGCAGCGTGGGCGGCAGTGGAGGGAAGGCCAGTGGCGCGTACTACCGGGCGGCTGATGGGCAGTGGCGGCGGTTCAAGTCTGTCACAAGGTCATAAAACTCATTTTAGGTCAGGTCACTAACTGCTAGAACGTTCTTGATGTACCATGCGCTCTGTTACCCTTGAGTACCACTCACAGCTTTGGAAATTATTGCGCCAACCAGGCCGTTTAGTCCTGTGTAATTTCGATCAATTGTCTCAGCAGCGCTGTACATAGTGGCAGACCTTTTATTTTGTTCTGGAGAATTTTCTCACATCGAAAGTACTTAAACATTATGCTTCATGCTGGGTACGCTACTCAATTTTATCCGTCATTGTGTTGCTTGAAACGACTCGCTCTGCACTGAAACTTCGTCTTCCTTGTCAGTGACCGAGCCGCATCTGCGACACATATGTATTCCGTGGTCCAGAGCATTGTAGAACTCGTTCAGTTGATTCGTTCGTGACCGAAAAGTACGCGCGGGAAGAGAGAAAAAGAGTTCACTATCCGCAATCCAACAGTCACGATGGTGAACGTGCGAGAGGTCGATTTAGGCAGCCGTACGATCCGGATCTTCGAGCTCGAGGACGCGCGCGATTCGGAGACGGGGAAATCCGTGACGGGTGCGTGGGTGTGGGACGCGTCTCTGGTCTTCGCCGCGTGGCTCGGCGCGCACGGAAAGGCGTGGCCGGAAGGGTCATGTAAAGACCTAAGGGTGCTGGAGCTGGGAGCGGGTTTAGGAGTCGTCGGGCTCGCCGCGGCGGCTTTAGGAGCGCGCGTGCTCCTGACGGACCGCGATATCAGGTGTATGCGCGGGATCAGGCGGAACATTGCGGAAAACGCGCTCGAGGGGAGGGCGTTTGCGGCGCAGCTGGAATGGGGGGAGGGCTTGCCGAGGCAGGTGCATCTGGGGGAGGAGTTACCTAGGAGGGCGGATTCTGGGGAGGATGCGCATAGGCGGACATCTGGCAGTGCGGAATTGGCGGAGACGGATGGGGAGGTCGGCGGGCGGCGGGGAGGGAACACTGGAGCGTGCGGGGATGGGGGGAGCGAAGGAGAGAGGGAGGAGAGAGAGACGGATACCGGAGCAGCTGCTATCCTACCATTATCTGCTCATGGTGTGGTTGCTTGTGGTGGTGATGGTGGTGCTACGGCTGCTCCTGCTGTTGACACGACAGCAGGAGCAGTGAGAGCATCAGGAGAGCAAGCAGGAGCAGAAGCACCGCTGGCGGAGACTTTAGGAGCGTTGAGTGTGAATGGAGGGGAAGGAGGAGTCGCCGAATCTGAGTCGTTGGATGTCGAGGATTTTGTGAAGGATCTAGATCTGATCGTTGGATCGGATATCACGTACGAGGCAGATCAGATGCCCGCCCTCTGCCGCACGATCAAGCAGCTGGCGGGACCTCGCACTAGGGTAAGCCCCCTGGCGGTGTTTCTGACTTTTGAGGCGCCTCAGAAGTTGCACTAGGGTAAGCCCCCTGGCGGGGTAAGCCCCCTGACGGGGTAAGCCCCCTGACGGGGTAAGCCCCCTGACGGGGTAAGCCCCCTGGCGGGGTAAGCCCCCTGACGGGGTAAGCCCCCTGGCGGTTTTTCTGTAGTGTATGTGAGTATCAGTACAGGGGCACATGTTTCTGTGTAGGCGGCGCATGGCGGGCCATGGGATGGGAGTGTAAGCACTCAAGCGGTGTATCAGAGGCACGAGTCATATGAGCGGTACATGAGAGGGAGGGCACCTTGGGTCGAGCGCTTAGAGTTTGTATCGCAAGGGGTGTCTCAAGCACCTCGCAAGGGGTGTCTCAAGCACCTCGCAAGGGGTGTCTCAAGCACCTCGCAAGGGGTGTCTCAAGCACCTCGCAAGGGGTGTCTCAAGCACCTCGCAAGGGGTGTCTCAAGCACCTCGCAAGGGGTGTCTCAAGCACCTCGCAAGGGGTGTCTCAAGCACCTCGGGAAGAGCCCTCTCAGCCCTCCTTCCATCTTCCGCTAGTGCTTTCAGATGTTTCGAAACTCTCCCCAGATTTTGAGACGTCCCTAACCAGTTCAAGCCCTCTCAGCCCTCTCCATATTTTCCACTCGTGTCAAATTTTCTTTTCAACTTCTCTTTTCCTGCCGGCTCCCCACCTTCAACTCATAGCCGCTCCTCCCTCCCCTTAACCGCTCCTCCCGCTTCTCCCTTCCCCTTCCCCCTCCGACCTGCGCCCCCCCAAACTCTCCACCCCCCTCCCTCCCCCCGTCAGATATTCATAGCAGTGGAGCTGCGCCCGTCCACGCCCCAGTGTTTCCAAGCCATGGCAGCGCAGGGCCTCACGTGGAGGGCCGTGGAGCAGAGCGATCTGGACCCCCGCTGGTGCAGCGATGACATTAAAATCTTCCAACTCTTTACGTGATTGGCGGTTGGGTTTGTTCCACGGGACCCAGAAGCAGACGGCCTCACGGGAGGGCAGTGGGAGCAGGGCGAGTTGGACCCCGGCTGGTGCAGCCACGGCATAAGATTCTTCTAGTTCTTCACGTGATTGGCGCTTGGCTTTTCTCCACGGGTCTACTTTTGGGGCGCCTCAGAAGCAGAGGGCGTCACATGGAGGGCAGTGGAGCAGGGCCACCTGCAGCAGGGCGACCTGCAGCAGGGCGACCTGGAGCAGGGCGACCTGGAGCAGGGCGATCTGGAGCAGAGCGACCTGAATCCCCGGTGGTGCTGCGACTACTTCAAGGTCTTCCAGCTCTTCACGTGACTGGCGCTTGGCGTGTTTCCACGGGCAGTGGAGCAGGGCTGTCTCGGGCAGTGCCATCTGGAGCAGTGTCATCTGGGGCAGTGCCATCTGGGGCAGTGCCATCTGGGGCAGTGCCATCTGGGGCAGTGCCATCTGGGGCAGTGCCATCTGGAGCAGTGTCATCTGGGGCAGTGCCATCTGGGGCAGTGCCATCTGGGGCAGGGCGACCTGGACCCCTGCTGCTGCAGCAGCAACTTTTAGGCCTTCGAGTTCATCATGTGATGTTGCAGTGGCATTAACCGAATGAGCAGGGGAACGTGTACAAGGTGGCATCGATCGTCCCTGACGAGACGAATAATACGAAAAAAAAAAAAAAAAGTCGTCGCAACAAGGATGTACCGGCAGGTAACAGCAGCAGAGTGCAGGTGCATACTGAATATAAAACCTGACTCAAGCGACTCATTTCTGGGGGTTGCACTTGCTGTGCGATCCATTCATTGGTCATACGAATGCCTTCACAGGGAAGATTCGTATACAGTGCAATGCAAGGGTATCAATCTCTACACTCTTGACTGCTGATTTTTTGTTCAGGAGTTGTATGCTGAACGAACTTGGCTGGTGCACATTTTGTGCAACTCGTGTACCGTATGATGATTGTAACACACCAAGCTCGGCCGATTGTGGCGACACTCGTTCGACATTGGCGAAATCGATATTGCCCGCGCGAAGTTGGCCCGGCACCTGATGAACTCTTTCCCATCCCGAGTGGGATGCGGTGTAGAGCACCCTCATGCATCACCAGCTTTCGTCAGGTAGCGCGTTGTCAGAAAACTCTCTGAAGCCGGCGTGCCATTGGGAGGAATTGGGTCAAGGCAAATTTCATGCCTCCCGATCGCATGCCATGTCATGCCATCGGAGATGTTGCTTGCCCGCGGGCAGCGCGAAACTCCGAGAGTAGATGTGGTTGAGCTGTAACATAAAATATCTCTGTCTATTCGGGCCGAGGATGTCTCATTCCCCGCGAGATCAGGGCCGAGAGGAAGGCCGATGCCCTCGCTGTCGTGAGTCGTGACTCGTGATGTGGGGAACGCCAGCTGTGGTCGAGGTGTGCCATAAAAAAATCTCTGCACAATGCTGCTGTAACGCCTGTGGGCTAAGTGTTAATGGGCATTCCGCTGCGCCAAATAACACCCTCGTTTTCACCCAGTGGGTAGCGAGGTGTTATACTGGTATCAGAGCCCAGGGTTCAAATCCTGGCTGATCCACATTTTCCGCCTGTGGCGAGAACTTGAATGTGGAAACCTGACTGAACCCAGTGAACGATCCTCCGCTGGCCTGGTCCACCAGCGAAGTCGCTGCTTGGAGCACAGCGAACAGGTCCCTGCGGGGGCCGACTCCCTGAAGTTCGTCAACGGGGACGTTGACACCAGGGGGGGACGAGTGTAACGCCTGTGGGCTAAGTGTTAATGGGCATTCTGCGCCAAATAACACCCTCGTTTTGACCCAGTGGGTAGCGAGGTGTTATAGCTGCCCACTAGGCAAACTGCATGGAATCATCTGGATTGAAAAGCTGTTGAACCTGCAATACAGTATTGAACGGAAGGCGCCGTACAGACCCTCACCCCGCGCTAAATCAGGCCGGAACGCGTTATATTCTTAGTGCTTGATGCGCACATCAATACATATTAGAAGAACGCGATCGCCATAATACTCTTTCTCTGACTGCTTACGTCCCACTACCTATCCATTTCGCACGCGCACAACAATCGAGCCGTTTAGCGATCATTCATTCCAATGGCGATCCGAGCGGGCCTGTCGTTCTTAGTCTTCGCGACGCTCGCGTTCGCGGTCGTCGCAGTCGTCGTCGAGTTATGCCCCGGAAATTTCGCAGACTTTGTCGGAAAGGAAAAGGCCGCGTTTGTCAAATTCTACGCACCGTGGTAAATAATGGAAAAGCGATACACGCACACTTACCTACACTTCGACTAACCAGCGCGACCATTCCCGCCTGAAGACCGCGTATCGAACGTGATTCCTTCGACGACTGAATGCTCGACGCTCCGTAGCCAAGTAGCGGACCGTTTCCATTTGTGGAAAAAAAAAAGAGAGAGAGAAGAAAAAATTCTCCCGCTGTCTCCCATCTCTTCGCAAGTTGTTTCGTCAAAAGTTTCCGCAAATCACGATGCGTGCCTTCGAAGCGAGTAAAGACTGGCGCCACCCGTTAGCTGCTCGCACAGCTTACAAACGGATTGCGAACGGCTTCTTTTCCTCCTTTCTGACTCGCAATGCCCGTCCTCCCCATTCACCCTTACCCTTCCCTCCTTCCCCCCTCCTTTCGCTTCCCCCCATCTCCCCCTCCCTCCACTTCGCTCTTCCCCGATTCCCTCCCTCTTCCCCCCCGTTTCCCCCCCGCTTCCCCTCCGCTTGCCCCCCGCTTTCCCCCCGCTTCACCTCCGCCAGGTGCGGGCATTGCAAGAAGCTGGCCCCGGACTATGACAAATTCGGGGCTGCCTTTAAAGAGACCGAATCGGTGGTTGTCGGTAAGGTGAATGTGGAATCAGATTTGATTTGATTGTGGCTGGGAGATGGGTAGCGGGGCGGGCAAGCCAGGAAAGAGCTAAGACGGAGGGAAGAAGGTGCATGGAAGGAGCGGGGAAAACACATGGAAGGTGCCTGGAATGTTCAAATAGGTATTTTATTCCGTTCCCTTCTACAGAGCCTTAACCCGTCTCTCCTCCCGTCCCGCCTCTCCCACTCCCCATGTCAGCTCTATTCGTCTCTGTGCTCCTGCCTTCCTCTGCCGTCTCATCATGTAGGTGGACTGTGACAAACACAAGAAGCTCTGCAGCGAGTACAAAGTGAAGGGCTACCCCACGCTCAAGTGGTTTCCGAAAGGGGCCTCCAAACCTGAAGAGTACGGAGAGGGGCGAGGGGAGGGACGAGGGGCTTAGGGTTCAGAGTCCAAGGGAGGGGTTGAGGGAGGGGACTGGCGAAGGGAGGGGAGGGGCGAAGGGAGGGGAGGGGCGAGGGGAGGGGAGGGGCGAGGGGAGGGGCGAAGGGAGGGGAGGGGCGAAGGGAGGGGAGGGGCGAGGGGAGGGGCGAAGGGAGGGGAGGGACAAAGGGAGGGGCGAAGGGAGGGGAGGGGCGAAGAGTGTGGATCAGTGAGGGAAGGGGTGGTGGGGGGGGGAGGGGAGGGGCATGGCTTTATCCAATCTGATCGCATATCCAATCTGATCGCATATCCAATCTGATCGCATATCCAATCTGATCGCATATCCAATCTGATCGCATGACTTGATATTCACATGTGTCACGCATGGTCATCATGTGTAATGCAGGACGTTTGAATTATCTCCGCACCCACAAGTAGTCATTTTTGCAGCTGTTTTTCATAGGTTCTTTTCCTCTTATATTGAATAATCTTTCCTTGACACCACACACTGCTACCGGCTGGCTGGGTGGCTGGCTGGCAGCTACACAGGGGAGCGCACTGTGGAGGATCTGGTGGAATTTACGAACGAAAAGCTGGGTGAGTGAGTGAGCTTTGATGCTTTTCCTTTTGAAGTGTGAAGGCCTATCACATGAACCATAGTCACTGGGTGGCTGGCAGCTACCCAGGGGAGCGCAGTGTGGACGATCTGGTGGAGTTCACGAATAGAAAGATGGGTGAGTGAGCTTTATGCTTTCTCTCTTGGAGTGTTACGGCCCGTCTCATGCCCATCCATCTCATGCCCATCCATCTCACGCCCATCCATCTCATGCCCATCCATCTCATGCCCATCCATCTCATGCCCATCCATCTCATGCCCATCCATCTTATGCCCATCCATCTCATGCCCATCCATCTCATGCCCATCCATCTTATGCCCATCCATCTCATGCCCATCCATCTCATGCCCATCCCATGCCCATCCCATGCCCATCCTATGCCCATCTCATGCCCATCTCATGCCCATCTCATGCCCATCCTATGCTCATTCCATGCCCATCCTATGCCCATCTCATGCCCATCCCATGCCCATCCCATGCCCATCCATCCCATGCCCATCCCATGCCCATCTCATGCCCATCTCATGCCCATCTCATGCCCATCTCATGCCCATCTCATGCCCATCTCATGCCCATCCCATGCCCATCCAATGCCCATCCATCCCATGCCCATCCCATGCCCATCCCATGCCCATCCATGCTCATTTCATGGCCTTCAAAACCTCCCCGAAGACGTGCAACCTCTCGGGCACACCAACCGATGCACCTCAACCCTCTCTCGCCCCTCCCTCCACCACCTCCCTGCATGGCATGACATGGCAGACACCAATGTCCAACCACCAGCGCCACCGCCATCGCACGTGGTAACCCTATTGCCAAACAGCTTTGATGCTATGGTGCTGAACCCCCCCCTTCTGCCACCTCCCTGTATGGCAGGCACCAGTGTCGAGCCACCAGCGCCACCGCCATCGCACGTGGTAACCCTATTTCCCAACACCTTTGATGCTATGGTGCTGAAACCCCCACTCCCTCCTGCACCCCCCTGTGTGGCATGGCATGGCAGGCACCAGTGTCGAGCCACCAGCGCCACTGCCATCGCACGTGGTAACCCTGCTGCCCGACACCTTTGATGCCTTGGTGCTGAAACCCCCACTCCCTCCCGCACCCCCCTGTGTGGCATGGCATGGCAGGCACCAGTGTTGAGCCACCAGCGCCACCACCATCGCACGTGGTAACCCTGTTGCCCAACACCTTTGATGCCGTGGTGCTGGATCCCTCCAAGTTCGTGCTTGTGGAGTTCTACGCGCCCTGGTGAGACACAGAGAGGGAGGGGGGTGGAGGTACCTGTTTTGTAGGATTGTTTCTTCTCAAGTCTCAAGGGTCCACCTGCCGTGGTGCTGGATCCCTCCAAGTTCGTGCTCGTGGAGTTCTACGCGCCCTGGTGAGCGAATGGGGGGGGGGTGCGTTTTGGAACTAGAAAGGGTTCTTGAGAGCTCTCAACTCATAGAACCACCTGCTGCCCGTGGTGCTGGATCCCTCCACGTTCGTGCTCGTGGAGTTCTACGCGCCCTGGTGAGACACACACAGAGAGGGAGGGGGGTAACGGCCTTGTAAAGGAGTCTCTTCTCAAGTCTCAAGGGACCACGTGCCGTCACGTGGTGGTGGATCCCCTCCGACTCTGTGCTCGTGGAGTTGTACGTTACGTGCCCTGGTGAGACACAGAGCGAGGTGTGTCTTTGGTGTGCCTGTTGGAACCCTCAAGGGTTCTTGTAAGCTTTCAAGTTTCTGCTCGTGGAGTTGTACGTTACGTGCCCTGGAGAGACACAGAGGGAGCTGGCCTTTTTGGCTCCTCTTTTTTCCGTCCCTTTGGATGCTTCTCGAGTGCTTTCCGAGTGCTTTCTCGTGCCTTCTTATCGTTTTTTTAGTGCCTTTTGGGTGCCTCTTTCAAAGCCTTACAAACATTTTCTAAGCCGATTCGTGTGCTGCTGATGCTGCTTCCTCTGTGCATGCGCACATTTGGGTGTAATTTGCGGTTGACTCTCAATTACACATGTATGCATATGGATGATGCATGCAAATCCATTATCCGTATGTTGCCGATGCTGCTCCTTGTGTGTATATCCACATTCTGTACCCTATCCTTTCTCTTGTGTGGCTTGCGGTACTGTATGGTGGTAGGGCTGTGAAATCAGCATGTGTGTGAAGCATCAAGTTTCCAATTTGGTGTTATAAACTTTATGCTTGTCTCTCCCTCACGCTGCCCCTGCACTGCATCTTCCCTTCAGGTGCTCGTTTTGCCAAGACCTTGCTCCGGTAATTCAGCTGCTCCCTTGCCCAAAATCCCACTTGCTCCGTCCGATTTCGTTCAATCTCAATTCGTTCCAACAAAATGGATTTCTGAAACAAAGAACAACAACATCAACAACCCTGTGACAGCATCAACAACCCTGTGACAGCATCAACAACCCTGTGACAGCATTAACAACCCTGTGACAGCATAGCATACTCTCTTCTTCCTCTCTTCCTCTTCTCCCCGTCTCCTTCAGATTTCTCATTGCTCCAACTCCTTCGTTTCCCTCTCTCTCCCATCTTTCATTGCTCTCTGTCCTTTCACTTCCTCCTCTATTCCCTCCCTCTTTCCTCCCTCTTCCCTCTCCCAACCCCATTCGTCCCTCCTTGTTCTCCCTCCCCACCATTTCTCTTCTTTTTCCCTCTTACTCGTTCTTCTCGGTTCCATCGCAAACGTTCCTCCTGCATCCCCCCACCAGGCATACGAGCAGCTAGGGCGGGCATTCAGAGATGAGGAGAACGTGGTGATTGAGAGCTAGGCAGACTGACTTTTTCCCTCGTGCGCCTTCTCTCCCCCTCACATGTTCCTCTCCCCTTCCTCTCCGCATCCCCCCACCAGGCATACGAGCAGCTTGGGCGGGCATTCAGAGACGAGGAGAACGTGGTGATCGCCAAGCTGGACGCGAGCAAGCACAGAGAGCTCAAAGAGAGGTGAGTGGCAATTTGGCGATGGTATGGTGTGCTTGTAGTGAGAGGTGCTACTAGTGAGAGAGAGCATGGTGCTATGTGAGACGAGGAGAGGGTGATGATCGCCAAGCTAGACGCGAGCAAGCAAAGGGAGCTCAAAGACAAGTGAGTGGCCACGTGGTGATGGTGGTGGTGATGGTGGTGGTGATGGTGGTGGTGATGGTGGTGGTGATGGTGGTGGTGATGGTGGTGGTGATGGTGGTGGTGATGGTGGTGGTGATGGTGGTGGTGATGGTGGTGGTGATGGTGGTGGTGATGGTGGTGGTGATGGTGGTGGTGATGGTGGTGGTGATGGTGGTGGTGATGGTGGTGGTGATGGTGGTGGTGATGGTGGTGGTGATGGTGGTGGTGGTGATGGTGGTGGTGATGGTGGTGGTGATGGTGGTGGTGATGGTGGTGGTGATGGTGGTGGTGATGGTGGTGGTGATGGTGGTGGTGATGGTGGTGGTGATGGTGGTGGTGATGGTGGTGGTGATGGTGGTGGTGATGGTGGTGGTGATGGTGGTGGTGATGGTGGTGGTGATGGTGGTGGTGATGGTGATGGTGATGGTGATGGTGCAATATTGTGGTTTGTGCTTGTAGTGGGGTGATGATGATGTTGCGTGGGTGCTTGTAACAAGAGGTGAATCTGGTTACCCCATCATCAAGTGGATAATACGACGTGAGGCACCTCGAAGTATCCACATGCCGTTGCATATCCTCTCCAAGTGGTTTCCATGTGAGGCGACTTCCAAGTGGTTTCCACGTGAGGCGGCTTCCAAGTGGTTTCCATGTGATGCGATTTCTGATGTGTGTCAAAAGGTGATCCATCTGAGGCGACCGGTCCCGACTCCGTTGTATTCTATCTGCCAGCTTGACCCGCTATTACAGGCACAACAACACAACGGGTTACCCGACCATCAAGTGGTTCCCTCCCTCCCCTCCAACAAGCACGGAGAGAGCTCCGATCCGAGCCACAAGAGTGCATCGGAGCTCTCGTGGATCTCTCCGTGTGGGAGCTGGCAGGCGTGTGAGCAGCCTCAAAAATGCCTGCATGCTCTTGCGTTGCATATCCTCTCCCCTCTCTGTTCTACCCTCTCTTCCCACTCCCCACTGCAGGTACAGCACAACGGGTTACCCGACCATCAAGTGGTTCGCTCCCTCCACCAATCAGGGCGAGAATTTCGAGGGCGCGCGGTAGCTGAGAGGCATGCTTTCCGAGGCGTTTCAAAGGGCGCGTTGAGGCGTGGGAGGCGCCTCAATATGTCTGCATGCTGTTGCGCTGCCTATCCTGTCTTCCTTCTTGCCACTGCAGGTACAGCATAACGGGTTACCCCACCATACTATGGTTCCCTCCGTCCAACAAGCAAGGCGAAAGCTACGAGGGCGCGTGGGAGTTGAGAGACCTTGTGGCGTTTGTGAACAGGGAGGCGGGGACCCACCGCACCAACACGGGCATGCTCTCTGATATGGTGAGCTCGTGGTGCAAGCATGACGTACAAGATGAGGTACTAGGAGGCACATGCACATGCACATGCACATGCACAGACACATGCACATGCACATGCACACGCACATGCACATGCACATGCACATGCACATGCACAGACACATGCACATGCACATGCACATGCACATGCACAGACACATGCACATGCACATGCACATGCACATGCACATGCACAGACACATGCACATGCACATGCACATGCACAGACACATGCACATGCACAGACACATGCACATGCACATGCACATGCACATGCACAGACACATGCACATGCACATGTACAGACACATGCACATGCACATGCACATGCACAGACACATGCACATGCACATGCACAGACACATGCACATGCACAGACACATGCACATGCACATGCACATGCACATGCACATGCACATGCACAGACACATGCACATGCACATGCACATGCACAGACACATGCACATGCACATGCACATGCACATGCACAGACACATGCACATACACATGCACAAACACATGCACATGCACAGACACATGCACATGCACAGACACATGCACAGACACATGCACATGCACATGCACAGACACATGCACATGCACATGCACAGACACATGCACATGCACATGCACAGACACATGCACATGCACAGACACATGCACATGCACAGACACATGCACATGCACAGACACACGCACATGCACAGACACATGCACATGCACAGACACATGCACATGCACATGCACAGACACATGCACATGCACAGACACATGCACATGCACATGCACAGATACATGCACGTGCACAGACACATGCACATGCACATGCACAGACACATGCACATGCACAGACACATGCACATGCACCGACACATGTACATGCACAGACACATGCACATGCACAGACACATGCACATGCACAGACACATGTACATGCACAGACACATGCACATGCACAGACACACAGAACCACCACGGGAATGCTCTCTGACAAGGTGGTGAGCTGGTTGTGGTGATGTGAAAGCACGAGTGCAAGTTGAAGGCACGAGTGCAAGTTGAAGGCAAGCGAGATGTGTGGTGCTACGGGGGCGCGTGGGAGGTGACAGACAGACCTCTCAACTTGTGGTGTGGCGTGGTGTGGTGTGGTGTGGTGTGGTGTGGTGTGGTGTGGTGTGGTGTGGTGTGTGTGTGTGTGTGTGTGTGTGTGTGTGTGTGTGTGTGTGTGTGTGTGTGTGTGTGTGTGTGTGTGTGTGTATGTGTGTGTGTGTGTGCGCGTTTATTCTGAGATCCCCCCAACGATCACTCCCTCCCTTGCTCCCACCATTCCTGAGCAGGCCGGGCGCATAGCAGCTTTGGACGAGCTGGCCCGCGGGTTTATTGCAGCAAGCAAGGAGGGGAGAGAGGAGCGACTGGGCAAGGCGGAGAGGGTGACAGTGAGCGAGGAGGAGAGCAAGTGAGTGGTGGGGGAGGGAGTGTGGTGTGGATAGGTGCAGAGTGGGGAGGGGGTGTATTGGGGTGGGCAAGGAAGAGAGAGAGGAAAGGGTGGCAGTCAGCTAGGAGGAGAGAAATTGAGAGAGGAGGAGAGAAAGTGAGAGAGGAGGAGAGCAAGTGAGAGAGGAGGAGAGCAAGTGAGAGAGGAGGAGAGCAAGTGAGAGAGGAGAGCAAGTGAGAGAGGAGAGCAAGTGAGAGAGGAGGAGAGCAAGTGAGAGAGGAGGAGAGCAAGTGAGAGAGGAGGAGAGCAAGTGAGAGAGGAGGAGAGCAAGTGAGAGAGGAGGAGAGCAAGTGAGAGAGGAGGAGAGCAAGTGAGAGAGGAGGAGAGCAAGTGAGAGAGGAGGAGAGCAAGTGAGAGAGGAGGAGAGCAGTGAGTCGGGAGGGAGGGGATGTGGTATACGATTGGTAGGTGCATTGTGCATTGTAGATGGGGGCTCATGGGACAGGGATGGAGGAGGGGGAGGACGGGGAGGAGAGATTGGCTTAAGGGGAGAAGGTTTCAAATAAGACAGGAAGAGAGTGAGTGAGAAAGGAAGAGAGCAAATGAGAGAAAGAAAGAGAGCAAGTGAGAAAGGAAGAGAGCAAGTGAGTGGGGCAAGAGGCATTGCAACATAGGGTAGGTGCGACAAGGAGACTTATTGGGAGGGGCAAGGAGGGGAGGGTGGTGATTGTGGCATGGCAACTGGCTTTAGATGCACTCAGAGAAGACTGAAAGGAGGAGAGGAAGGTGTGGGTGGGGAAAGTGGCATGCGTGGGTGATGTGGCATGTGTGCCCTATCTGTGCCATTTCCCTGTTCTCCGTTGGTGTGGCAGGCAAGCAAGCATGTACATCACGGCGATGAGGAAAATCATGGAGAAGGGCGAGCAGCACGTGGAGGACGAGCTGAACCGCGTGGGCAGAATGCTGCTCGGGGTGAGTCGAACTGGCCAGTGTGTGCTCTCACATTTGTGTGTGCTCTCACATTTGTGTGTGCTCTCACATTTGTGTGTGCTCTCACATTTGTGTTTTTAAGTCAACTCAAGTCAAATGTCATGGAGAGGGCGAGCAGAATGTGGAGGGCAAGCTGAACCGCGTGGGCAGGATGCTGCTCGGGGTGAGTTCCAACTAATCAACCAGCTTTCTAGTCGATTTACTTCTGAAGAAAACGTAACCCCAACAGATTACAGAGAAGGGCGAGCAGCATGTGGAGGACGAGCTGAGCTGAACCGCGTGGGCAATTGCTGCCGGGGGTGAGATGAAGCAAACCAGTAGCGTGTAGATTCAAACATATGTTTCAGAGTCCTCAACTCAAGTATCATGGAGAAGGGAGAGCAGCATGTGGAAGACGAACTGAGCTCAGCCGCGTGGCGAGACTGCTGCTGGGGATGAGTCGCTTTTATGAATGCTGCTGTTACAATCCCATCCCACGGTGTGACCATTAAATTGCGTGCCATGCTCACACTCGTGCAGGCACTGCCAAGAGAAAGGGAGAAGGCCCCGAGCTTCACCAACCACGGAGGACCCTCACCAACCACGGAGGACCCTCACCAACCACGGAGGACCCTCACCAACCACGGAGGACCCTCACCAACCACGGAGGACCCTCACCAACCACGGAGGACCCTCACCAACCACGGAGGACCCTCACCAACCACGGAGGACCCTCACCAACCACGGAGGACCCTCACCAACCACGGAGGACCCTCACCAACCACGGAGGACCCTCACCAACCACGGAGGACCCTCACCAACCACGGAGGACCCTCACCAACCACGGAGGACCCTCACTAACCACGGAGGACCCTCACTAACCACGGAGGACCCTCACATTCTTACGCATTCCCTTGTGTTTCCTCCCTCTGCTTCTTTGCCATGTGACCATTTAATTGCGAGCCATGCTTGCACTCGTGCAGGAACTGCCAAGGGAGAAGGCAGTATCCGCATAAGAACCACACACGCTCCTGACCAATCCCTTGTGTTTCCTTTTTCTGTTTGTATGCTGTACTGTGACTGCTGCTGCGTTGTGTGCTGTGCTCGCACGTGTGTGTGCAGGCACTGCCAAGGGACAAGGCCCTGAGCTTCATCATCAAAATGAACATCCTCGCAGCCTTTTTGGAGCTTGACGGATCAGACAGCAGCGAGGGCAAGGGTGACTTTGATATGAAGATTGAGCTACCTAAGAAGTTCTCGGTTGGGAAAGTGTAGCAGGTGTAAAGGGGTGGTCAGCACTCTAAAACTGGTGCCCATCTCATTTGGATAGGACACATTAGGGCCACTTGTGAACAGTCAAAAGGATTTGCTGCTCGCATCACAAGGTTGTTCACCTAAATAAACTATGACAGCAGTATTTTCCAAAAAATCCTGTATCCTAACATCTAAACCAGTCTGACATTTGTCCCTAGCCTGGCTACTGCAGGATTTACAGCAGTAGTGTCGCATCATAGCACACGCATTCCAGGACAAACATTGCAGTTGTTTCCCTGGCAGCCACCAATCTCTAGCGAGCATTCCTAGTTTACGCACAGGTGCCAACACCAGCTGAACAAAAGCTAGGCAAGTGATGTGCACTACACTACAAGACCTATATAGACTGGGGGATTCACATCACATTGACATACTTCAGTGGTATTTACTTCAAATGACCTACCTACCTACTGCGGTTCAAGTCAGGATCTTCCTAACGTGTTCACAGCAAAATAGAGGTACGGCACCGAAAGCTACAAGGACGAGACGGTACTCAAGAAGTAGATCAACATGCAATCCCTTAGGATACGGTATCTCACCATCACAACGAATACCATGGAGGCGTCACAGGAGGAGGATCATACAAATGAGAGTGGATAAGGGCAACGGAGGGAGACGGGATGAGAAGGAAAGTGGGGAGGAGAGGGGGAGGGCCAGAGGACTGGCACGGGAAGAAAAGAGTGGGGCTTGGGAGGGGGAAGGGAAGAAGTTTAAGGTGCAAGGGGGATACGGTAAACGGCAAAGGGGAGTGTGTGTGGGGGAGAAGAAAGGGTCGACGGTGGAAGGTGGGAAGGCACAAGGGCAGGGGGATAGGGGCTGTTCCGGCAAACAGCACTGCCTCAGCCAGGCTCGGACCAAGCAACCACCTCTTCTTCCCTCGCTCCCTCGCTCCCTCCCTCCCTCTGTCCGTGCATGTCCGCTTGTCTGTTTCTGAATGTCGGTCGGTACCGTACGAAACCGGATCGTACCGTACAGTTGCTCAAACCGTACGAGGCTTGTGAAAGGAGCTCGGCCTTGTATGCATCCATCCATCCATCCATCAGTTCTTCCTGTCCTTCCTTCCATCCATCCGTTAACGCCCCGTGAGTGACGCCGTTGTGACATCGCTGTGACACCGTTGTTACACCGTAATTTCACCGTCAGTGCCGGCTGTTGGTGTCATCTGTAACAGTGAGCGCAACAACGAACGAACGGAACAGGTCGCCCTGCAGTGCAGTCAGTAAAACAGACAACTTGCTCCCTCACTCTGTCCCTTGCTCATCCCACCCCTAACTCGAGTCACTCACACCCTCCCTCTCTCTCTCCATCTCTCTGCCCCTGACCAATCCTCCTCTCTGCCAGGCTAACCTCGACTCGAGGCTCAAGATACATACCATGCCGGTACATACGAGGGATGCAACGAGACAGACATAGAGAGGCAAGCAGCCAGAAACAGTCAGAAAGAGGCAGATGCAGGCTGCTGAACAAGAAGAGATCAAAGCGTGAGCCAGCAGATGGCCCTAAACCCTAAGGAGCATATAGAAAACACAACGACCACTAGGCGCAATAACAGGCAACACATGAAGTGCACGCACTAGGCATGCTGCGAGATGCGACTCAATCCGTTGCAAGAAGGTGGCATGCCATGGCCTTACACAAAGAAAGCGTCACAGCGCTACTCTACGCTTGCACATATTAACAACCTTGAACAAGAATGAATGATCGGCGAAGGGTATGAAACCCAACCCATGAAGCAACACTGTACCATTCAAAACACAATCTCACCACGCTGACGACCAGCATCTCATTCTCATTCATCGACAATTTGACTCAAATACACTTAACCCATCAGTACACCCAGTATCAGGACCGGAGGTGATTTTTACGTCGACTAAAAAAGACACCACACTGACAAAACCACAACCATCTCACACTCACCCCATCAATACGGCCAGTACCGCGAGCGGGCAGCAGGACTTTGGAGTCGAACCAAAAGGACACCATTTGAAGCATCCCCAAAATACAACCACCACCACCATCTTACACTCACACTGACTGACACTCACTCACCCCATTTATCAATACGGCCGATACCGCGAGCGCCCCCCGCCGTCCCCATTCCGCCCCTCGCCTCCCCCCCTCTCGTAATCCCTCTCCCTCTCCTCCTTGACCCCATATCCACCCCCATACCCTCCCCCATACCCACCCCCATACCCGCCCCCATATCCCCCTCCCCCTCCCCCTCCCCCTCCCCCTCCCCCACCACCACCACCACCACCATACCCACCCCCATATCCGCCCCCATACCCCCCACCACCACCTCCTCCTCCCCCTCCCCCTCCGCCTCCCCCTCCTCTCCGCCCATCCCCGCCCCTTCCCCCCGCGAGCAGGGGCGGGCGCGGCTGCGCCATGCGGATCTCGTGGAGGGGCGAGCCCTTGATCATGCGCTGGCTGCGCGCGCACGCGCTGTCCGCCGCCGCGAACGAGTTAAACCGCACGTAGCAGAAGCCGCGCCGAGTGCCGGAGGCTCTATCTTTAGGAAAATACACGTCCTCTACCGTTCCGTACCTGTGAGGGGGAAGTGGGGACAGGCAGGGGAGGAGAGAGGGGGAATGGGGGGATAGGGAGAGAGTGCAGCGACGGAGTTGAAGCGCACATAGCAGAAACCACGACGAGAGCCTGAGGCTTCGTCCTTGGGGAAATAAACGTCCTCCACCGTGCCGTACCTGTGAGATGCGGGAGCGAACAGGGGAGGGGGCGGAGTGGGGGAGGGGGGGAGGGTGGCAGCAAAAGCGTTAGAGAGAGGCGCGTAGCTGAAGCCATTTGGCGCGACGGAGGCTCTGTCCTTGGGAAAACGGAGGGGAAGGAAGAAACAAGGCGCCGATGTCTTGATAAGTCTCAAAACTCGAAGCAAGGCCATGATATCGGATGATGGACGAGACGATCAAACAAACGTGGACAAACGGTACGCAAAACCCTTACTGTTCAAAATGCCCCTTAACGTCCTGCTCGCTGATCTCCTCCGCCACTCCCCCCACAAAGATCCGAAACTCGTCCTCAAATCCTCCCCCTCCGCCTCCGCCTCCGCCTCCTCCCCCGCCTCCGCTGCGCCCATACCCCTCCATAGCATTCGACAGTATATACCCGCCTCCATATCCCGAACTTAGTCCGGCACCATAGCCGCCAGACGTGACTAGAGGAGTGACGGAGTAGTAATCCAAGCCTTCCGAGCCTAGAGCGGCTCGGGGTGCTGCTGCGGCTGCCATGGCGAGGGAAGACGGGGGGTAGCCGGAGGCTCGGTGGGAGGGTCGGTCGTCGTTGTAAGCTCGGCGGCGGGATGGCTGCTCCGGTCCTCGAGGTTCGGCTTTGGTTATGGGAATGGTCACGCCGCATATCTCGTAAGAGTCGTTTTCCACCTGAGGGGGAGGGGAAGGAGGGGGGGGGAAGAGGGGAGGGGGAAGGGGGGGGGCGTGAATGAGCATTAACGATAAGCTGTTTCTCAGATATAGGCATGAGCAGCCGTAAATCCCGTAAGAGTCATTTTCCACCTGACGGAGGGTACGAGAAAGAGCATTACCAAATTTTCACCTCTGGTTACTACTGCTGTTAATATATGCAGTCGTTTGTGAATAAAGGAAGACGATCGAAACGCTGGTACGACGTTCAATAGTTTGACGACCACAAATTCAAACGACTGTAAAATAAAACGAGATAGAGAACGAGGAGATAGGGAACGACGGGTAACGGAAGAATTCACCTCACCTCGTCAGATTCCATGGTTAAGGTCAAATCCACACCAGACCTAATCGTGGATTTTACAGAAATGTGCGTACCGCGGCTTTGACGGCTTCCTCTTCTTCGAACGAGATGAACGCGATGCCTTTCAGCGTGCCGGTGAACGGATCGCGCGGCACGTACACGTCGATCACGGTCCCGAACTTCTCGAAGAAGCTTCGCAAAACATCCTCTTTATGCTCCTCCGATATACCCGCTCGCAGAAACACGCGATAGCGATGCGACGGCATGGCGGGCTCCGAGTAAAAGAGCTTGTCGTTGATCGCCGCAAATGGAAAACCTAAACCGTTGAACACTCTAGCGGTAAGAATTGGAACACCCTAGATGTGGGTAGCGTAGCGAGCTGCAAGCTACGGAATGTTGAAGTGCTGGTTAGAAAGCTGGCCCAGCTATCGATCCAACGGCTGAGATTCATAGACAGAAGCAATGTAGCGAGAGAGAGCCCCCAACAATGTACTGCTTACAATCTCAAAGGTGGTTTCACCACTAGACATGTCTACCACAATCCTTTGGCACATGTAATAATCTTTATTGAAGCTACAACCTCATCTCGTCCCCCATGTTTTTTTAGCGTGCTTTCAGCAATAAACATTCCCCAGCGAAGTTCCTGGAACACCCTAGCGCAGCAAGATTAACCACATAGGATGAGCTGTAACGTACGCACTGGACCCGCACCCGCCTCGAAACTCTATCAATAAGTTCCTTTAAAAGGGATCTGCTTGAGGGCATTTCAGGATTTCTCATGTTGCTACTGTATTACAGAAGCAGAAATATAGGCGAATTTATACCTAGCGTTGATGGTACAATCTCTTCTATACGATAAGGTTCCTCCTAGGTACCAGTAATTATCCCTGAAATTGCACGGTTCCTAGTCTAAGTCTCCATGCCAGTTGTGTACACCCTATTCTGTGGGTGCGTATAGGACTAGATGTCCCTTTTTAATCCTTCCTCTTGTGCTTGAGCGTGTATCAGGCCTCAGCTTACAGGAATAGCCACCTTGAGGCCACTGTAGCAGTCAGTACCTACTCTGCTCCCAAAATACAGAGTCTTGCCTCGTTCAGCTCTCCTCACCAAAAACACATCCACGCCCACTTTTCTTGGAGGGCCCAAGGGATCTGCACTGTAGAAGTTGCATGTATCGAAACTGTCTTTATCCGGGAATTGCTGCACATCTCGTTCCGCGTCCATCCACCTGAAAACTGAGGGAGGGAAGAGTGAAGAGGCAGGTGTGGAGATGAGTTACACCTTAGGGCGGGTTTGCAAGAGTGGAGATGGGAGAGCTGTGAGACAGAGGGTTGCAAGAGACAGGTACAGAGAGAGGTAAGTTACTGTAGCGAGAAAGGTAAAGAAAATTGTAACGGATGGAGGGTTGCACGAAAGTAAGGGTAGAAACTCGTTTACAGAGGCAGCGAGTGTTGCAAGCATCAGATGTAGGGGCGGGTGAGTGGATGTACTCGCACTTGTATATAATCGTCTACAGAGGCACTCGCAGGCCTCATTCCCCGGCATGGCCTTTGTCTGAATGTTGCATGAGCATGAATTCCATCACCGCATTATACAAGCTAGAAAGCAATTAACTAATGCCGAGTCGTCGGGACACTCACGAAGAAATGTGCCGGGCCTCACGACTGGAGGAGTCCACTTGTCAACGCCTAGGCTCCACGGGTTTACAGTGGAGCGACCCTTTTCCAACCCCACCGGCACCACTATCTGTGGGACGTGGGACGTTGGGAGTGGTGCGCACGGTGAGATGGATAGAGCAGTTTCAGCAGAGCACGCTGTAACGGAACGAAAGAGAAAGGAAAAAAGAAGAACAAAGAAGAAGAAAGAAAGACCTACCAAGAAAATCAGAAGAAAAAACCCGCTATCGCCTTAGCATTGTGAAGAGATCAACGGAGCGAGACAGCAGTTTACAGTGCTACTACCGTAGTACCTAGTAGAGGACGTGACGTCGTCTGTGTGATCAGTGAATGTATGATCTACCCACAAGAGTTTGCTCTTTCACGCCAGGGTGTCAAGTGGTGCAACAGTTTTGCATTGGTTGATATGCGGGCATGCCCACTGTCACGACTGGTGATGAGCCTTTTGCCTGTACGCAAGCTGTGGTACGTCATCAGCTAGTCTTTTTCAGCTTCACTGTTTGACTTTTGGGGGGCCTCAGAAGTCATGTGGTTGACATGCGAGCAAGCGCACTGTCACGGCTGGTTGTAAGCCATCCTGTCAGTACTACGCAAGCCGTGGTACGCCATCAGGTAGTCTTTTCAGCTTCACGGTTTGAAGCGTTTCGGAATCGGTAGGGTCGGGTTGTTACCTTCGCAGTTGCAGACTTCGGAGCGCTTTTTACCTTGGCGTCAACTGCACCTGCGATTGGGCGATTATGGGAGAAATGCGCGATGCAAGAGAGGCCACTGATAGCATTGAGGAGACAACGGTGAGAAAGCGATACTAGAATGCGCCAACGCAGTGTCAAAGTTGTTGAATGTCTTTTGAGAATTCTCAGTAGTGATATCACTGAGAAAAGGAAAGCGATGCGCCAATGCAGGCTGTGTGAACCTAAATTCACTGCGAGATACGCTGTGAGTGGCTCGCGCGAGATGCTAGCTAAGTTAACGTGGCGCGGAAAGCAGTCAGTGCGCTGAATCTCGGTTGACGAGGCATGGGCTTGGCGTGAGTTTGTGTCGTCATGGTGGCAGACGTACTCGAGGAGAGCGCGAGAAGCGCCACACACGCCGCGATCACCGCTGTACTATTCCGCATCTTAGGAGCTTGTGTTGCTTCTGAAGTAGTTCCTGTCTGCTGGATTTTTTTAGAGCGAGCGTGAGGACGATCGAACAAGCCACTGCCGCGCGCGGGAACTAGGCGAAACTGTAGTTAGCTACTACTAGCAGCAGTAAGGAAAAATTCCGAGCAGTGATAGACGCGAGTCAGTTGTGCGAGGTAGTCGCATCAGGAATGCAGTGAAAGTGTAATGAGGCGCCTCAACAGTTTCTGGGGTCAGGGGGATAAGGATCTCTGCGTTCTCTGGGACACGATGGGCCGTGCGACGACGCGAACGGTAGTCTGTGCCCGTGATTGAAAAGTGATAAGTCGCGGGCGAGGCAAAAACCGACATCCTCGCTGAAAGGTCTGTTCTAGCGGGCTAAAAGCAAGTCTCTTGAGGGTCGATCTGAAAAGGGACTTGCGGCAGATCGCCGATCTGAAAAGGGACGGGACGGGCCCAGGCTGCTCGCCGCGATCGTCGGGAGAACACCACGAAAAAGTTCCCGTGAATTTCTCATTGGGATGTGCGGCGTATGGTGGGCCTTGTTGCATTCGGACGACTTCTTCGTCCAGATGCTGTGCAGAATCCCGAGCAGCGATTTGTTTTTGTTTTTCCGCGCGCCGACTTGGCACGTCTCACTCGACCAGAACACAGGAACTGTCGCAGGCAAGGTGGAAGAAGCCAGTTTTTTTGTTGAAGTGATGTAGTCACGTGGACGAAAATTCAGCCACGAGGTGTGATGAGAGGGAGGGAGGGAGAGGTGAGAGTGATGAGATGGGATAAGATACGATGATATGGGTTTCGTTCCAATGGGATGCGATGTGATTTCAAGGGGTCGGATGGGATGAGATGGTTGGAATGGGATGGGAGTGAAAGCATTTGAGTTGTGCAATGTTATTGTCCGCGTCGCCTTCGACATCTCATTGCAAAATGCATCTTCAGCGACTCGCCTTCTTGGTCTCGCGCCTGCCTCTCGCGCCAGCCAGGTTACCGCCTGGTTTGTCGGCCGTTGCAAGTGAGGGATTGGTTCGCTGGGAAAGCTGTGACGGGGCTTGGAAATGTCGGCAGCTAGAAATGTCGCGCAAGACTTGTCTAGATTCACTATTTACCGTTTGTCGCGCCCGCAAATAGCTACGACGTCCACTTTGTCGCGGCGGCACCCTCCAAACATTTATAAAATACCATCGCGCACCACAGCGCGTACGCTCTAACTGTTCCATCCCAAACGTTTGGTTTGTAAATACAGAAGTATCAGACAATTACTCTTTTTGCATCCAGTCTTTTAGTACTTCTTTGCTGGTTAAAGTAGACAGCCCACTGTCAACTTGCTGGTCCTCGATAGAATATCCTCGACTTCTTATGCTTTCCAAATAGCCATTGAGATATTAAGGATTTTCTAACCCTAAGCCTATAGCAATGCCTCCCTAAACGAGGTAACTAACGAGCATTCGAATTCCGTACTAGTAAGACCTAAGCACTCTCTTAGCCTCCCGAATCCCAGACAAATACCCTCCATGGACACTGGCTCTATAAGCTCCATTCGTATGCTCCCCTGCAAATAGGAAATTTTGCTCCGGTTCTGCCAGAATGTTGAAATCTCCTGTAGCGTCACCATCCCCTTTCATCCCCAGCCTTCCATAACTGTATGCACCTCGCGCATACGGGTCCAAATTCCACCGCTGCAACCACACCGCGTGCGCCTTTGCAGTCTTGTACTTTGGAAACATGGCTTTAATCTTGTTTGCTGCATCTCTGATGCACTGCGCCTCGCTCATCTGTGCCATGCGGGTCGCATACGAACCCACCGCAACACCCTCCAAAGCCGTCATACCCCACGCTCGCTTCAAATTCACCCAGTCAACCCACCGCCCGCGGTTTCCCGGAAGCTGCGCATCCTCGATAAAATATTCATCCGCCCAGGTCGGCCAAAACGTGGTGTTGTAGAAAAAGAAAACCTTATTCACGTTCCCAAACCCGACGCGCCTTATAGCGCCTTGCTTTCGCGCGGAGAGCGCGGGAGAGAAGGAGACAACTCCTGCCTTGAGAACACCGAGGGGGAGGGTGATGATGGCAGCGTCGCCGGAGTAGGAGCGGGTGGCGCCGGTGGCGGTGTCCTTGCCGGTGATACGCACTGCCGCTGAGCTCAGCCGCGTGATAGCTGTGACTTCAAAGTTGAGAACCAGCTTTGCTCCGGCGTTGGTGGCCTCCTGCAGAGGGGGTGGAGCAGGGAAGGGAGGAGAAAAGCGAGGAGGGATGGGGTGGAAAGTGAACATCCACGGGGACTTAGAGGCAGGTGGCAAGGGTGGGTGGCGCTGGTGGTGCTCTCCTTGCCAGTGTTCCGCACCGCTCCTGAAGGGGGAGATGGGGCAGGAGGAAGGGAGGAGAGTGAGAGGAGGTTTGAGGCACCCACAGAGAGGTTTGAGTAGTTGCGCTCTGGAGTTGGTGGGCCTCCTCAAGGGGAGATGGCGA